CCCCAAAACCCCAAAACCCCAAAACCCCAAAACCCCAAAACCCCATAAAAGAAAATTTTAGATGTTTGTTATAACATTCTAATATTCAATTATTTAAATTATGTCCAGTGTAAGTTTTTCTTAACTCACTTAAAACCAAGAAATTCCGCTTAATAGCATAAAAGGGTTAGCTGAGTAGATATAGTAGTGCTTGTTTCAACTAAAATAATGACTCACTCCAAAATATAGCCTTATCATTCACCTTGCAGAGAAGAGATCAGAAAAGAACATATAATCGGTACCCTTCACGCAGAAAATGAGGATATAAGAAGAAGCAAAGCTCATGAAGCAGATGGATTGGAGGAATCCCTCCACAGTGCACAATATGCCTTGGATAAAGCTACTGGGGACAGACTAAAACTTGAGAATAACTTCAAGATCCAGGTTGATAACGATGCCATTGTTATAAACAGACTTAAGAATGAAGGAATTGATTTGAAGCATACCCTAGCTGATAGAAATGAAGAGATTGCAAGACTCAGATCAACACTCAGCAACCTCAAATACACTGTTGACCTCAAACTAGGAGATGCTAACCTTCTTAGAGAAGATAATGCCCACTTGAAGGACGTTGCCAATAGACTTGACAAGGACACAAAGATTGAAATTGACGTTAACACCGGTCTTAAAGCTGACTTAGATGGCACTGAAGCAAGGAATAGAGATCTTAGCAATGCCTTCGTTTCAAACAGAGACAAGATTAGAGCCTTAGAGGTTGATAACGATAACTCCAGAGCCCATCAAGACAACCTCAACAGAGATATTGACTCTATTGAACCAAGAATCAGAGATGCTGCAGCCCAAATTCATGTCTTAGATGGAAGAGCTAGAGGATTTAGAGCTGATCTCGACCATATAGATGCCTCTATTGGAGACCTAAGCGGAAAGTTCGATGCTGAAAAGGAACTGTATGACAGAATCCATGGAGACCTTCTTAAGGAGACCGACAAGAATGCTGCTCTTCAAGAAGACCACAGAAGATTAGTGGATGCAATTGAAAAAGCAAGAGCTGATATTGATGCTTTAAGAAGAGAAGTTGAAGACCTCAATGAAAAAGTTAGAGTTCTTACCTCAAGTAATGCAGATTTGGAATACCAACTTGCTGAGCTAAAGAGACATATTGAAGTATTAACAAGACAAAATGATCAGCTTAACATTGAGCTGAACGGAATTCTGGATCTCGATAGAAAAGTCAGGGAAGAACTCGAAAGAAGATCTGCCTTAATTGAAAAACAAAAAATGAACGAAGAGGAATTAAGAAAGTCTTTGATTGATGTTGAAAAAACAAGAGCTAGTTCACCAAGAAGAGCCTAAAGCGGGACTACAAATTTTATCATAGAGAGGCCAAAAAGGCGGAGATGTCATTAAATATTTATTCACTCCAAATAAAATTTATTCCCTGGGGTTTTGGGGTTTTGGGGTTTTGGGGTTTTGGGGTTTTGGGGTTTTGGGG